CCCAGTTTTCAAACGTTTTTCGGAAGCCGAATGTCCAACGCAGCTTCTGTAGCTTCTGATTGAGTGCAGGAAGCTCCTGCAGCCAATTGGAAGCCGTGCCTTGGTTTTCAAACCATTCTGGTAGTCAAACGGACTCTCGGAATGGATTAAGTTCGAGAACCAAGGTACCACTGTAGTTATATCTACCACCAATGAAAATGTTGTACAACACGGCAGCACTTTATAAATGTTAAACAATGCTGGTGCAACAACAGTGAGTTACTCTGTTAGCAAGGTATGTTAAATAAGAGGACTGGCATGGGCAAATAAAATGAATAATCACAATTAATTGGCTAATAAGTGATGGGGCAGAATGCTGCCCCAGGGGCTCCTTATTGCTACCACAGAGCAGTGTCAGATATTAGCTGAATAGTTTAATCGCTGCTCAAGTTATTTACATCACTGCAATTTGTACCTATCGCTACCCTTTTTAGCAAACATTTCTCAGTTCTTACCTACCTCTGCCTTGGGGAATCTGATATTGGATGACCTGGGGCGGGGAAGGGACAGCGTTTTGGGAGTTTATTGTAATGCCTTGGACTCGGACAGCTTTCGCACAGCTTTGGCAAATCAAGTCAACTCACGACAGTGCATCAAACTACTCCCTTTCTTGTGCAAATAGCAAATGGATATTAATTTGGCAATACAATTTATCATTGCTTTCCCTTACGTACCCAAGACATGATGCTTTAAAAATCATAATCTCCACTTGGAGGTTTCTTCATTAAGGTCATGCAAACTTGCTGCAATAATAATGACCTTTGCCTTGGCAAAAATGAAAATGCTCTTGTGTTCCAATTCTGCTTGCATCTGGTCAGCCACTGTGAGAACAGAATACTGGACAAGGTGGATCATTGGCCTGATCTCTTTCTATGTTTTTATGAGAGGGCTGTCAAGTTATCATTGGATGTTCCTGCTAGTTTCCTTTAGCTTGTGTTTTTTTAAAATATAATGCTAAAATGTTATAATTTCTAATCCATGTGTTATATAGGGCTAGATTTTAGATGCAACATACTTGCCTATCCTGACTGGTCAGCCATGTTCTATGATAATATTTAAATAAAATAATATTATTATTTTTTACATTTTTATATACTGCCCTGAAACACATATACACAGGGTGGTATACAATATATTATTTATTTATTGCATTTCATATAAAAACAAATTGTAGAGTTGGACAGGACCACAAGGGTCATCTAGTCCAATCCCGTGCAATGCAGGAATCTTTTGCACTAGGTGGGGCTCAAACCCACAACCCTGAGATTAAGAGTCTGATGCTCTACCAACTGAGCCATGTTCCAAGGTGCTCAAGGTGATGCAGATGGTTCTCCACTCCTCCCTTAATTGCCACTAGAGCCCCTGTGAGTTAGGTTAGGCTGAGAGGCAGTGAATAGCCCAAGGTCACCCAGTGAGCTTCATTGCTGAGTGGGGTGCCAGAATGTCTTGGGCCGGCTCATAAAATAGGCCAAAATGACACTTGAGTATGCACACAAGGAAGGTGAACAATGTTGAAGGATTATTATTGTTATATATAACTTATGCCCTTGTGAAGTTGCTTTACGGATAAACCTTAAGCATTTCACGAGGTCTAGTTAGTACAGTGGTACCTCGGGTTAAGTACTTAATTGGTTCCGGAGGCCCGTTCTTAACCTGAAACTGTTCTTAACCTGAAACACCACTTTAGCTAATGGGGCCTCCTGCTGCCGCCGCGCCGCCAGAGCAAGTTTTCTGTTCTCATCCTGAAGCAAAGTTCTTAACCTAAAGCACTATTTCTGGGTTAGCGGAGTCTGTAACCTGAAGTGTATGTAACCCAAGGTACCACTGTACTGCCCAGCTCATCTTGTGCAGTTCCCCTTCATTTGCAGGGGAAACATTTTGGCCCTAGACATTTTGGCACCTAAAGCAAACCACAAAATAGCTTCCCCATCCCCACCAGGGAAGAAGGGGTTAGTGAAACTGTGAAGTGGTGAGTGCAGACAGAAATGGAGCCCAAACATGGAGAAACAACACAGAGGAGTCAGCATGCTGGAGGGGACCCCAAGGTTTGCAGAAGTACAAAAAGAGGTCAAAAAACAAACTCAGGGGACAACCCTTCCTTAGTTACCACTGAGTGTTGAGCATCAGCTAAAAAAGGAAACTGGGAAACAGGGCGGAAGATTGTAATGGTATATTCTGGAGGGAGAGCGTGGGTGGCTGTCACCTTGAACAGGAGCATCCCTGTTAAGGTGTGCAACATTTTGCTGCAAATCTTACATGTTGCCATTCTCTGAAAGAAAAGAAGCCTGTATTACTTTATTGCAACCTTTTCAGGCATTCAGTTTAGTCTTTGTTCTGCATCTGTTGTAAGGAAGGCAGATGATTCCCTCCTCTGCACTCTTTAATATCTCCTCAAATATTTGCTATGATCTCTGAACTCTTGTGTGAGGCGGCAAATTGTGGTTGTCTGTACCCTTTTCCCTCCATGTTGTGAAGCAAATTCCTCTTTGACTCCAAAAAATTATGAAGCATGTGGTGTAGTTTGGAAAGGGGGTTGTTTATAACAGCAGTGGAAAACATAGCATAGTGTCAAAGACAGATGTTAAAAAGAAAAAAGTATCATATTTCCCTCCAAAATAGGAATCACTGCCATAGGGTTGCCCATTTCTATTTCCAACCTAAAAGTGGGAATTCTACTTCCTCTCCCTCCCCAAAGAATAATTTTGGTGGTATTAAATTAAGCTTTACTCAGAGAAGACCTGTTGAATTTAAGGGCCCTAACTTAGCCATGCTCATTCATTGCAATGGGTCTCCTCTGAGTAAAACCAACCCTTTGTCTTAATTTTATTTACAAGTTGGAATTAGTTTCATTTGTGACATTTCCCCCTGTGTGGTTCCAGTTAAGCATCCTTCTTGTGAAAACTGCATCGAAACAGGCAGCTGAAAGGTTCTGCAGTGAGGACCACATAGGCACTGGAATTTCTGAGCTCATTATGCTTATCCATCAGATGTGCAATTTCGCTTTCTCTCTTAAACATTGAAGTCTGCAATGGGGTGTGTGTGTGTGTGTGTGTGTGTGTGTGTGTGTAGGGGGGTTTACTTCATTATGATCCTGCTCCAGCTGGGTATGATCTTTGATTATTTTTTTCCTTGTGAAGGAGCCCGCATGCTGATAGAGGGAGGAGAAGCCAGTCTGGCTGCTATATGAAACATGAAAC